TATTATCATGTTATAATTTATATAAATATAAAATTTTGCATTAAGGGTTTGACTATGATATTAGAAATACATGAATAAAGCTTATAACCAATCAACTGATATCATGGATAGGAAGCGTTTGATTGGTCAACGTTCTTCGTAGGGCTGATCGTGGGTTCAACTATGATACCGGCCAAAAGACTTATAACCAATTCCGAGTGGACCAATTAAAAAGTGGATCCATGTAATTAATTCCTTCCTGGCGGACCTAGACTCTCTTCAGTTCACAGGCCAATCCCATGAATACATATATAGCCTCTTTGTTTTTCCTCCATGGAATAATCTCATGAGCATCATCCAGGATTTGCATAAGACTCAAGGATCATCTCGAGGGAGTTGTTATTTAGGCTCAGCTTGGAAAGAATATAAATGTAAATATGTAGAGTGAAAAATCTTATATTTTGTATTATTTTATATGTATTTGCATTCTATATGTTTGTATTTGTACTCTTTCCAAATTGAGCCCTATAAACATATATCTTCAGGGAGGCGAATTAAGTAGCAGATTGGATTGCAAAAGCAATCTCACACCACGCTAGACATAAAGCGCATATGATTCAAAATGGGATTTGATTCTCACAAAATCATATCATTCTCACAGCCCTTTGCATTCACATTAGTAATATCTCCCCATGAATAAAAAGATGAAGCATGGACTATGGAGCACGACTGCAAAAGACTGTGAGGTCTGTGAGAGCACAGTTTAGTTTTTGTGAGACTAAATCCACCCTCATATGGTTGATAATCACTCAGTCTCTCACTTCAAATTAATGACTGAAATGGGGTGTTATTATTGGTCCCACAACCATCAAATTCATTTAATTTGCTCTCCTTTTATTCACTTTCATGGTTCCAAGTAGAGTTAAAAGTTAGAAATGTAAGGTGTATTAGACAACAATTTTAAGAGATGTATCATAATAAAATTTGAATATATATATATATATATATATATATATGAATATATTAGTAAATTCAAATAAATTCTAAAAATATATATTAATAACATAAAATACAAGTTTTATATTACTATTAAAAAATTATTTAAAGTTTTAAACATAACAAGTCTTTAATGATTTACATCGAGTGTGAGGTATCAAAACACAATTGATAATCATTGAAAAATAATAGAAGAACTAAAATGTATATGTACATACTTCAATTTGGGAAAATCAATTTAATTTGTATATAAATTTTAGTATTTATTAACAAATATGGACTCAAAAGAGAACGCTTACTTTAAAATCAAAATGCATATGATTTTGAAAAGCAAATAGAATTTGGCATGCATAGTGGTAGACTTACCGTCAAATTTGAATTTGATACAAATACGGAGTAGAGTATCGGTTCGTTTTGGGATTTGAAACTACAAGACTCTAAACGGTAAATATTGATTCATGCCGATATGTTGGATGGGTCGTACCGGTTTGTATCGTTGAACAATTTATTTCCTTTTTTCATTTTTTTCAAACTTGTTTCACGGGGATCGATATAAGGCCTCTTTACCCCGTGAAACAAGGAAACCAAGTTTAAAGTGGCATATCGGTGGGTCACTGATATGATACTTATGGCTTATACATTCTGAAATTTCGATCCTTATGCATTTTACACATTCAAATCCAATTTTATATTTGAACATTTGTTTTGACTTTTGATTCAAATTTGACTGGTTAATTATTTTAGATAATTAAATTATATAATACAAATATTTTATTTATATAAAATATCTATACTATTATAAAACGAATATTTGCCTTAATTTTGGTGCAGGTCATTGTATAACCTCATATCTTTACCCTTATACAATTAGATATTATATTATATTATATTATATTATATTATATTATATTATATATGAGTTACCTATAATATTTTATATTTTATATTATAAATTTGGTGTGGTATATATTTATTGAGTCGACTCAGGTGATATTTGAATCTATACTATATTATAAAGAGATTAGCTCCCACATCAGCAGCCCTCTCTTTCTCTCTTCTCTCCTTAAACCTCTATTTTTTCTCCCTTACCCCTTCCTAACCCTTCCATGTAGCCATGTGGCAGCCCTCTCTTCTATACTAAAGTGTCACTCCAAATCTCTCTCTCATGTTCTCAATCACTTAGTCAACCACTCGGGATGTCCTACTCACTTTTTCTACCCATTCTCTACCCGCCATGAATTGGAGCCACACATCTCTATTATGAATTGAGAGATGTGTGACTGCAATTCATGGCGGGTAGAGAGTGGATAGGAAAAGTGATTTGGAAATCTGGGTTCTTAGCCAACCCCCTCCTAAACTATCTCTCCCACCTAAAATTTTTCATAAAACACCTCTTAATCTATATTGCTACATAGCAGCCCTCTCTTCTTCACTAGAGTTCCACTCCAACTCTCTCTCTCTCTCTCTCATGTTACCAACCGGTTCAACCCCTCCTAAAATTTCTCCCAAACAATCTCTCCCATCTAAAAGCCAAAAACGTGGGTAAATTAATTTGTAAAATATTTTTATATTTTCAATAATTACTGATATTATTGAATATTATTTAGTAAATGTCAACACCAAAATTATGATTCTTTGTAATTTTAGTAAATTAAAAATTTTAATTACTAAGAATTACTGGTTGAAAATTACTGATTTTGGTAATTTAATTTCAGAATTTTTTGAAAATTAATTATTGAAACCAATAATTACTAAAATATTAATAAATAATTAAATACAAATTTATATTGATATTTTCAGTCATTTTTGTCAATTTATTAATATTTAATGATATTATCAAACAATAATTAAAAAAATTCAGTAATTTTTTAATGGAAAATTAATTTCAATAAATATAAATTTATTTTTTATATTTTCAGTAATTTTGATATTTACTATAACTTTTTAGCAATAATTAGTGGTTTTGTTAATTTAGTGAAACTTAAATTACAAAACTTCCAATTTTTCAAATAATTAATTGGAAATTTTTAATAATTTTCATAAGTATTGGATATTACATTTATAATTACCATGATTATTGGAACTATATTTTATGGGTTTGGGGAGTATTATAGGTTTAGGGGATGACCCTTAGGGTAGGAAAGACAACGGGTGAGTTCAGGGCGGGGATCATACTCCCCATCCCAACCTCGAGTTTTAAATTAATCCCTATCAAAAATTTTAGCTTGCATCCCTAGTCCTTGACAGAGAGGGCTTTCCCATCGGGGACTTGAATCCCTGAATTTTTTATTTAAAAGTTTATTTTTAGAAAGGTATTTATTTAAAATAAAGGAAAAATTAAAATGCAAATAATATTTTAAATATATTTTGATATATATAATATAAAAATTATTATAAATAACATAAACAATATTATATATTTAATATAATATATACACATATATTTAATATATAATCGGGGTTGGAGAGGCTGGGTATTCCTATTAGGTATTCCTATTAATTCTATCCCCACCCTATCCCCACTAAGGCGATCTCCACTTCATCCTCGTCTGATTGGAGAGGCTGGGTACTAGACGGGGATGGAGAAAATTGCCATCCCTACCCTCGGATTATGTAGCTTCATAGAACAATAAGTCTTAATTTCAATTCTATGTATCGCACAGGGGCCCGCTAGTTTTAATATATAGCATTTTGGTGATCTTGAAAGCCGATACGTGTCTATACTTGAACCAAACCTTTTAATTTGTAGACTATAATAAACCAATACACTTGAGCAGCTTAGTGAGCGTTCACTGGTCGGCAGGCAGGTTATAAGGGTGATCATGGGCTAGGCTTGGGCCGGGCTTTGCACTTATGATGAGGGCTATAGCTTTGGCCTGGGCCCGGCCCGGTTCGGGGTTCCGGGCCTGAATCATAAGCCCTAGCCCAGGTCTATATGGGCCCGGGCCGGGCCAGGGCTAATTCCAGATTTCCAGGCCAATGTCACTCATATATAAAGCATTGCATATCTATATATTAAATGACATAACATGCATATCAACTTATTTTATACATTATATAATATAAAATATTACATATAATACAAATTATACATGTCATGTATAATATAATGTAAAATAACATGTATAGATATGTATACATTTACACAAAATGCGTAAGTTTAAATATATGCAGGTCGGGCCAGGCTTGAAGTATTAAGCCCAAGCCCGGCCCTAAATTTTGCAGGCCTGATGTGGGCCCAGGCCTGAGCCAGACCTGAACACAAAACCCAGGCCCAAGCCCAGAATTTCCAAGTCGAGCCGGGTCGGGCTGAAATGATCACCCCTAATAGGTTAGTACTTAAGCTATGTTTGGGAGTGCTCAAGTTAAAAATAAGTACTTGAAAACAAGTGCATATTCGAATAAGCACTTATTTGCATTTGGCACCCAACTTTTTCAAGTGCTTATTTTTAAATAAGCATTTGTGACTATTTTGTCTTTTATTTTCTTTCAAATTTTCAAAATATACCCTTTGAAAGCACTTTTATTAAAACACTTTTATCTATGAAAGTACTTTTATGAAAGTATTTTTACAAAAGCACTTTTATAGAAGTACTTTTATGAAAGCACCTTTACAAAAGCACTTTTATAAAAATACTTTTATGGAAGCACTTTATGTTTATAGAAGTACATTTATAAAAGTGCTTTCACAAAAGTACTTTTGTAAAAATGCTTTCATAAAAGTGCTTTTATAAAAATGCTTTCATAAAAATGTTTTTATAAAAATGCTTTCATAAAAGTGCTTTCTTATAAGTATTTTTATAAAATTCAACTAGGGATAATTTTGGAAGAAAAAAATTGAATAAGTGCTTATTGTATAAACACTTAAAAAAAACTGAAAATTTGGGTTTAAAAAATAAGCTCTTATTTTTAAAATAAGCAATTATTTCGGACTTATTCCCAAATACCAATAAATGATTGATGACGCAAATAAATATTTATTTTGAATAAACACTTATTTTTAAGCACTGCCAAACATGGCCTTAGTAACGCCAAATCTACCGGCCGGTTCCCAAATTCCAATTAAAATCGTAGCTTGAATGAGCAAATCCATGAGTGAGATTCTACATTGTGCAGATTGAACGTTCATACATGATAGAGCCAGACAATCAGCTTTCAGTTGTAAATCCAGAGAAATGGCGCTCTATCTCAGTGCCTCTGAAGTGAGACCAGATTATTCTGAGGCAAAACCGCCAAAACTGTGCATACCTATAGCCATTACAGGTTCTGTTTATCTCTTCTCTGCAATTTAGGCTTTTTCTTCCTGTTCTGTTCTACTTTTTCAATTTAATGTATGTTGAGCCATAAGAAACCCATGTGCAAACTGTCAATAATCTTCACTCCAGGGTTAGAAACACGTACGTGATTCATGTTATCTTTGAGTTTCCGTGGGCAAATTTTACATGGTTGCGCAGTTTAGTTTTGATTTCTTCTATTTCTTCACTGTAAATCTCGGTTGACAATGGATGATGTTAAGATATCCAGTTGGTTAAAAGCGTTGCCTTTGGCACTTGAATATCACCAAACTGATAAAGCGTTGCAAGGTCGTTCCTCTAGTTGCTTAGGTGGGCGCCTAGGTGACGCTTAGGCAATAAGAATTTCGTAAAATAAAAACTAAGTTTTTCCTACTTCTCTAGTTTATATACAATTCAGCATGCATATTAATTGGAAAAATAACAATTTTATTTATTAATAACTTAAATTTCTTCTCAAAACATGGAAAATCAATCTATCCAACTAATAGTATTTCAACTATAATAATTTCAATACTTACAAAAATGATACCGAGCTAATAAATATTTAACAGAGCAATTTCATCTCAAATTAGCAACTAAATAAGGCTATAATTTTATATGGTAAAATTTAAGATAGAGAGTAAGTAAAATAGAAAAAGAACAATGGTGGAGCTGTTGTTTTATTTAATGTAAGAGACTTCTTTATATTTCTGTTTTGTTTTTCTTTTTCTCTTCTCAAAACCTTTGGATCTTTTAAATTTCAGTAGTAAAACGTTAAAAAAAGTATAAATGATATATATTGGTATATTAGTAATTTACTATATAATAGAATGTAGGAACATAAATAATAGTAAGATATAGCAATATAAATGATACTATAATAAGGCCTCCATCTTGTCATTTTAGTCTCCTAGGTGGGCACCTTATCGCCTGGTTTAAACAAGGCGTTTAGGTGAGGCACCCGGCCAAGAGTGCCTAGTTGCCCAGTCAATGCCTAGGTGATGCTTGACAGCTATGTCTTCCTCTCAGTTGCATTCTAGAACTAAAGGGAATGGCAAGGAGGTTGGGGTGGTGTTACAGGATAAGGCACCAAGAATTGTGTCAGAATATGAAAAGAACCGAGACACCACCTCAGGTTTATGGGCAAATTTGGCTGGG